CGGGCGCGGCTCGGACGGTTTGGTTGGCTCGATCAGCTCTGTAGGTTGGGACAACTAGTCCGCCTTAGACGACTCATTTTCCCAACCTTCACAATAATGGACCTATTCAACACCAAAATAAACGAGAGCTACGCCAAAACACAAAAACACATGACGAACATAAAAATGCACAAAAATAAAATAAACTGGACCGACTGACACTAAAACAAACCTAAAAAGACTCAACTAAAGCAAATAAAACACACGAAAATAAGCACAAAAACACAAAAAAAAACAGCTCGGTGTTGGGCTCAAGGTGTAGTTCGTGTCGTTCCAGTGAAAGGAGTTCAGGCTTGCTCTGTTCCGGGTTTAGTTAGGCCTTTGGATGCAGTTTCTAGATCAAGGCTGGACCGTTCTTTTTCTTTGGGGATCCATGTCATTAGGTAGTTCTTGGTTGTTTCTTGGCGGTTGCGGAGGGCTTTGCTACTTTTTTTTTCTTTTCGTTTAGTTTGTGCATGTTGGGTAGTGTTTGTGGTTTGGTTTGTGTATTAGTTGTTGTGTTGTTTTCTTTTCTCCTATTTCGGAGCGTCTTATTCTCTTGTTGGGAGCGCATTATTCTTCTGTTGGGAGTTGTACATTTTGTTGTGTTGTAGGTGCGTTAGTGTAGTTGCTTCTAGGCTACATTCGTGTAGGCTTCCTGGATTCAACTGTTTGACTGTTTGGTTATTCTAGCTGTAATCATGTGGTTTTTAGTTTTATATAATTTCTATCGTTAAAAAAAAAATGTATTGAGGAAAATCAGTCTTCACCTTCTCTCACTCTAAAAAGAACATCTTGGCCGAAAGAAGAAAAACACAACAAAAGTGTTGCCGCCCTCTCGTCTCCAGCAGCGATGGCCCCACCGCCCCCATTTTCTCCATGTTCCTCATCTATGTCGGCCGGTCTCCCCCTCGTTTCAAGCTTTTCAGCCTGAATTCGAGAGTCTCTGATTATATTTTTGTGTTTAGTGCTGGATCTAGAAATTTATGAATGGAGACCTAAGTTACTTTTAACTAACCATCAAAATTCTAAAATAAAACCGTAAAAAATAAGAAAAAACATCTCTATAAGTTGCGAATTTATATAAATCTTTTTAAAAGAAAATCTCATCTCATCTCAAATAGATATGAAAAAAAAAATAGGCATGAAGTTTTGATTGAATAGAAGATAAAAATGTACTGATTAAAATTTATGTGACTTAATGATAGGTTAGAGAATTAATTATATTTCACTGAAAGTATAAAGTAATAATAACTTATTATGTTATAATTGTCTTACTTATAAAAATGTAAAATGAAATAAATAATATTATTATGAAAATATTTTGTTATTTTCCTAGTTTCAATAAGCTAAATCATGATTGATTGAAAAGAGTTGAAAATAAAATTCATATGTCGATGTTTCTCTTTTCTTTTCTTTTGTTTTATTTAAATAGATTAATACTATTAAAGTCATAAATTTAATTTAAAGTGATTTGTGTGGAAACTTATTTAATTATGTTTATTATTAACTAAATAAAATTTTGGAATCAAATTAACCACGTATAAGATTGAATTAAAACAAATAAGAAAGATTAAAATTGTTTCTTCTTACATTAAGTCATATTAAGTAATTAAACAATTATATGTCAAGTTCGAATCTAATGATATCAAAATAAAATAAATAAATAAATAATTATTGATGGAAAAACAAAAGCCATTTTATTTTTCGGGGAGAGTCATCCCAAATACACCTACACAATGGAAATTAATTTCTTAATTGGTGAATTTATAAATAATCCTAAGTACTCTTTGATTTATTTATTTTTTTAAATTCAGTGTGTACCTAGGCTCACATTGTTCCTTAATGGATCCGCCAATGTGTGTGTGGGGTATGGATCCAGAGCCTCTTGGCTAAGAGGTGAAGATGGTCAGAGACAATCCCGCAGTGATTCCAACAATTTCTAGATCTATCTAGCCGATTGAGTTGTTCAGAGTTCTCTAATTTTAGTGTCTTGACTGCGGTGTCGCCCGGCTAGGATTGTTGTTTTTGAATTTTAGTTTAACGTAGTGGTTGCGGTGGCATGCTGTGTGGGAGGCGGCTGAGGATTTTAACTATTTACTATTTGTTTTGTTTTTGTTTTTGTAATGTGTTTTCTTATGTTTAGCTTTGTGTCTGCATTTTCTATTGTTGAGTGTTTGATTCATCTACGTGAGAGTTAAGTACCTTTTTGTTTAGTACGTT